AGTGCAACAAATGAAATAGCTCTTTTCATAAAGTGAAATAAAAGAACTTAGAGGAACAAATTACTTTCCATTTTGAGTTTTCCTTGGTTTCTCCACCAACTCTTATCAGCCATCTCAATGGAAGCATCTTTCTAAATTAAATAACAAGTTACCTACTTATTATGTTAAATTGCAAAGCTTTACCTTTCAGACATTAGAAGTGTCTGAAGTATAGACAGTATAGGGTAAGGGAGACTTTTTTAGGTAGGTTCTCTCGACAGGTGACAGAGTTGACACGCAAGGAGAACCCCCAAGCCAAACGCTGGAATGCAGATGTTCCTCTGGGGCTTAGGACACCCTGTCCCACAGCACAGTTTTTCTCAGAAGTTTGACAGGAAAAATGCTTTAAAAAAAGTATTGTGTAGAGAGGTTTATTCTGGAGACCCAAGGCCAAGGGGCCATAGCTGGTGATGGCCTTCTTCCTGGCAGAGTCCCAAGGCAGGGAATGAAAAGACAAGAGACAAGGGGAGCACAAGTGTGTGTCCGTGTCTTCTTTCTCCCCTTCCAAAACCACCAATATTCACCATGGGGCCCCATCCTGATGACCTCAACTAATCCTAATCATTTCTAAAGACCTACTCTAAGCACCATAGTCAGATTGTCTACCCTCTGAATAGTCTGCAATGGGGACTAAGCTCCAACATGAACTTTGGAAGAGACAATCCATATCAAATCCATAACATTCTTTCCTCAATCCCTGCTCCCTGGGAAATCATGTCCTTCTCATATACAACATATATCCAAATCCCTGCAAAGTCTTAACTCACTCCAGCATTAAATCAAAAATCCAAGTCTCACCTGAGACTCAAGTTAAAAGTCTTTTAGATATGGATCCTTAAAATCAAAACTAAGTTACATACTCCCAAAACACATGGCAGTTATCGGGATAGGATAAACACTCCTACTCCAGATGTGAGAGGGTAATTAGCCCAAAGCAAAGCCAAAACCCAGCTGAGAAGACATTAAAACTGGCATCCTGTGTACTCTGTGGTAGGAGATGGGCACCCAAAGCCTTGTGGAGTACCGCTCTATAGCTTTGCAGGTTGCAAGCTACATGGCTACTCTCTCTCTTGGGGATTTGAACTCAGGGCCTCACACTTGGCTTGCTAGGCATGCACTCTTACTGCTTGAGCCACTCCACCAGACCATTTTTTTTTTTGAGGAGTTTTTTTTTTTTGAGATAGGGTCTAAAGCCAGCCTGGGGCTGGCTTTGAACCATGATCCTCTTAATTTCTGCCTCCTGAGTAGCTAGGATTACAAGTGGCCACCAGTGCCCAGCATAAGCTCTCTTGAGCTCTTTTTGCAAGGTGCTGGTAGTTTTACCCAGCAGGTGATGGCTGTTGCTGGGAACTACCTGTCTAAGGTCCACACTTTGGCTCCACTAGGCATTTTCCCATGGGGAGCTCTCTGCAAGGTCTCTGACCCTGAGGCAAACTTCTGTCTGGCCTTCCAGGCCTTTCTTTGAAGTCTTTTGGAAACTGCCTTGACCACATAACTTGCATTCCAGCTCTGTGTAGATGCTAAGGTCTGCTGCCCTGATGAGCTGTACACGAGCCCACTTGAACCATGGTTGTATCTGGTGTGCTTTGTCAGCTGAAGGCAGGGACATAAATCTTGAGGTGGCCCAGTGAGTCCAAGAGAATGGCCAGCTTGGTCCCTGAAACTCTTCTGTCTTTGGCCTCCATGCCTGTAGTGGCGTAAGGGAAGCCTCTTTAGCTCCTCCATTCCTCTTGCTGCTGGATACTTTTTCCTCTTGTTCTACTGAACATGACTTGTCACTTTCCCTGGCCAGGTTGCAGATATTCTGTGAGCATCAACTGAAGTCACATATTTTCTGTCAAAAGGGTTAATGTATAGTACATTATTAGTGTACAAATGTCAGCTTAACTTCCCCAAATTGTTGCCTATGTGCCTTGTGAGATGTCACTTAGCCCTGTAAATTCCTGTTTCAAAGGGCTGTTGTTCATAGCTGACCAAGTTCCTGTTATCACCAAGTGCCCTAATTTCCAAAACTGCTTGCTTACAGCAACTATTGTTCAAGTAAATCTTTGTTCTCCCTGCCCCAGCATCGCTCATCCCATGTGCCCTCTTTTCTTCTTAGCCAATGATCGTAAACCCAAAACCCATTCAATCAGGGTGAGGGGAAGACTTGTGTTAGAGATAAAACCTGAGCAGACTTCCTGCCCAGTGTACTTGGTAACCAGACTCTTTGTGGTGCACACTTCTGCAGAAGTAAATTTTGCCTTGCCTATTAACTTCTGAGTTGTGTTGCCTTTCTCGTGACATCCCAATATCCTGAATTCATTTCTAACATTTCCAAACCTTTTTATTACTATTTTTATTTTATTATTGTTATTATTTCACTCCTGAATTTCACTGTAAGTCTGACTAAAAACCCAACAGAAACCACCCCACAGTCTGAATGCTTTGTTTGTAATTTCCTCCGGCAAATAACCTAGCTCATCACTTTTTAGTTTGGCCTTTCACAAAGTTTTTTTAGGGCATGGATACAATGCATCCAAGTTATTTGCAACAGTGTAGGAAGGATGGCCTTTTCTACAATTTCCAGTAGGATCCCCATTTCCATCTGTGGTTAGTTTCTTACCCTCATTTTCTGAGCACTCACCAAAATCACCCCTAGAGCTCCACTTACATCATTCTATTTTTTAGCTTGCTCCTTCAAATTTGTTCAAACCTCTGACTATCACCCAGTTCCAAAACCACTTCCATGTGTTCAAGGTATTTTTTCTCAGCAACAACTCCACTCCTTTATTTTGTCTAGGTCTGTTTTCTGTTACTAATAAAACAATACCACAGAGTAGCTATGTTTTTTTTAAAAAGAGGTTGATTTTGGCTCATAGATCTGGAAGCCCAAGGCTGAAGGGGAGTATCTGGTCACAGCTGTCTTGCTGGCAGTCCTGAGGCAGAGCATCACAAGGTAAGAAATGGAAACACATGTGTGTGTGCATGCATGTGTGTTCCCTATGGTCACTCTCTCTTCTAAAGCTACCAACAGTCAATCAAGGGGGTTCCACCATGATGAACTTATCTAATCTTAAACATTCCCCAATTCCTATCTCTAAACACCAAAGTTTTATAGTTAGCAGTGCAAAATGGGGATTAGTTTTGGAGGGTATAAAACATATTCAAACCATAGCAGGACAGATTTATCTACTTTCCAAAGTGGAGAATGCCATCAGTAAACTGTTAATAACCACTCTCTGCATAGTGGATCCAATGGTTTGAAAATCATCATTTTAAAATGTGGTGTTAGAAGGGGCAAAAGGCCCCTTACTTGGGGTGGTGGAGGTAAAACAGGAATCATACATGGCTGGGTAGGATTTCCACACACAGAGTAGGAAGGAAGGGTGCTCCAGGATCAGGGAATAAGCTAGAAAGTGTGCCAAGGCAGAAAGGCAGCAGCGCATATTCCAAACTCCTGCAACGGTCAGAGTCGAGAGGATGCTAATACCTCTTCCACTAAGGTACTTTGGAAAAAAACCCACCCATTTGAGAATCACGAAACAAAAGGGAAGCTATTGTGAAGATAAATTTGCTTGGGACCCAAAGCCAGAACTGGAAAAATTGTCAAGGGTTCACTCAGATCTTCTTTTTCTCTAATGGCCCACATCTCCTGCCTTCCAAGCTACAGATGCTAACCTCTCCCCACCCCACCTGCTCACTTCCGCTTCCTCATGATGCTCATTTTCTACTCACCTGTTTTGAGAGCCAGGCCTTCTTTATGTCTGTACCCATCACAGGGCACAAATTCAGGTACAGACCTGTCTTGCTTGGGTGTCATGGTCAGGAAATCTAGCTGTTGCTGAGCTCTCCTCCGCACAGCAAGTGGTAGCTGGAGTTAAGTCAGGGCAGGAGTGCGAAATTTGGAGAAGAAAACCCAGAGAGAAATCCATACTGCTTGCATTTGTCATCCTGAGGAGTTGGGAGCAAGCTGGTGGAGTCTGGAAGTGTCGTGAACATGTGCAGTGCTCGTGTGGAGTGCTGAGAAATCTGGACTTCTTAACCGGGGATGGGAAGCCACAAGAGGCTTCTGGACAGATACTGATGGAAAAAAAGCTATGATTACAAAAAGGATGATTGTGGTGGCAGTGGATACTGTAACTGGGAACGTGAGAAACCTCGGCTCAGCGAGAGATTCAGGGCCTGATTTAACTGAGTAATTGTGGCTCCGATGGGGACTTTCCCCACTTTCCCTCTCCCCCATAAGGTATCAAAAATAAACGTGGCAGTGGCCTAACAACCCACAGGCGTGGGCGGGGTCGCCGGGAACTCGGACTGGCGCGGAGCTTGACCTCTCCATGGGAGGCGGGTCCTTCAGTCTGGGCCTGGAACCTCGCTGCTTCGGGGGCTGCAGCGGTCATGGGTGTGGAAACTCCACGCAGGAGTTGTAGACTAGAAGACGGTCAACACAGGCGAAGGGCAGTGGCCACTAGAGGCAAGGGCTGCGTTCCAGGCGCTGAAGCGCAACGGGCACGGCCAAAGGAACCGCTTGTTCGCCGCCTGCCACGTGGCACACAGAGAGCTGTAATCCTCCTTACTGCTACCGGACCCAGCCAGGGTCGGAGACAGCGGTGATGCTGTGGTTATAAACCGCGCACTTTCCCATCCCAGACCGGGTCCTCCCACTCCTGCAGGCGCTTGAGTTACGTCATCGCGGGTCACCTCATTCATGGCTGAGGGTTTTAGGTATCTACGAAAAGCCTGTCGCACAGAAAGCTGTCAATGAAGGAATTACCTGTAACCATGGAGGGACTGCACCTACTATGCCTCCGAGCTCTTTGGAATTTTTTGTGGGCATCTTCCCTGCAGCGCCGCATGACTCCTTTCCCTATTTTGTTCAGGCAGCAGCTCAGGCAGCCCCGCGCCGCGGAGAGGGACGAGGCGAGCCAGGGCGGGGCGGGGTCCTGGCTGGATTGCGTCGCGCTCGGGGGCCGCGCCGGGTAGCGTTTCTCTCTAGTGCTTGAGGCGGCTCCGATTTGGAGAGCCCTTCGCCATCTCCACGGGGACGTCTGTGCACGGATGGACCCGCCCGGATCCGGCGGGAAGCGGCCTGGCAGGCGGCGGCCCCGGCGACATCAGCGGAGGCAAGACTGGGCAGAAGCTGCGGGTCCCTGAGGCACGCGAGCCCACCGGGCCCGGCGGCGACACCATGATGCCGGGCGAGACTCATTCGGCGGCGCCCGGGTCGGCGGCAGACCTCTCGCGGTGTCAGGGCTGCGCTTCTTTGCAGCAGGTGCGCCACCTCTCCAGGGCGGAGGGCGGAGGAGGGCTGGGGGGCTGCGGGGTCCTGCCGCACGGACTGCGTGTCAACCCGAGCCGCTGTCCCCCGTCGCGTTCTTCTTTCTCTTGCGTTGCTTTGGGATCTGTTGCCTTTGCTTACTTAGGCTTGGAACCCAGAATTTCTTTCCCCGGTTGCGATGTTGCGGAGGGCGGAGGGAGCGAGTTCGGGCGGACACTCCCCCATCCCGATCCAGCCCCAGGGCTGGTTTTGAGGTTCGTGAGTGACGGGTGAAGTGCTGAGGCGTTTTACCTCTCTGAGCATGAGGCCTTTGATCGGTCGTCTAGCCCATCCTGTTAGTGGGAGGCAGATCCTATGTGACGTGGGTTGTCTGGTCACTAGACTTGAAGGTTTGGGGAACGCATTTCAGCTCATATCTAATGTACAGTCCAGTGTTTGGTTTTGAAAGCAAATAAGGTCGATTAAGTAACGTGTTAATTGCTTGACTAAAATAACCAATTAAAGGCACGTAGAGACTGGAAGCTTCCACAACCGCATGGACCGTTGTCTATCCTGAATTACTAGAGTCTGGCTCCAGGTCTCCTGGGAGTAGGGAAATGTACCAAATACGCATTCCCAGTGACCCTCCCAGCTGTCTGATATCAGAGTCTTATTTACCTTCTTACTACCTATGCGTCCAGTGGTAAAATAGAACTCACCTTTGCCGGCGGCTACCTCATGTAAGCATCACCTATTCTGCCTGATGTTCTAGGCACTGTGGATTTGGTGGTGAACCAGAAGGAAGAGATTTTACAGGATTTTAAGTATTCGGAAGGAAATAAAGGAGGAGGAAATGAAGGAGGATGTTGAAATGGTGGTCTTGTCTCTTGGCTGGGTGCCCAGGTTGAGTGATTTTGACTTTGAGATATTGACATTCAGGGATTTGAGTAATAAAGGAGGAGCAGTCTGTACCGGGACATGTGGGATGAGCTTTTTGAATAGAGGGATTGACAGGTGGAAAGTTTCCTGTGGTGAGGAGGGGCTGGGCATCTGTGATGCACATGGTTTGATTGGCATGAGGATAGTGCAGAGAAGAGATGGTTGATGAGATGACACGGGAAAGGAATGCAAACTTGGTAGGCCATCAAGAGAAGCTTGGTTTTCATTTGATCTGCAGTGTCTCTGAACTGATTCCACACATTTCAATTCTTGGGAGCAAGAATATCCTGGTACTCTGGGTAGAAAGAAAACTAAGTGTCAGTCATTGATTTAGTTAAGCTACATTGTATAGATAGCTTAGTCTCTTCCCCCATCCCCATCTCAGCAATGTGAATAAAATTCTCCTGAATCTTTAATTATGTTTATTGCTTGAGCCAGTTTATCCACTCAACAAGTATTTATTGATCACCTGCTATTTTTAGGCACTGTATTTGCTGTAATGGGGGGAAAAAGACAAATTCTTGACCTCTTGGAGCATCCATTTGGGTTGGGGGGGATGGAACAAATAAAACAAGTTAATGTTAGACAGTAATAAGTACATTAGTGATAAATAGAGCCAAGAAAGGGAGAGAATGAGGGTAAGGAAGGGGGCAGTGGCTGTTGGACTTTAGAGATTCCCGGGAAAGTTGTATTTGAACAAAGGGGTGAGAAAATGTCCTCTCTTTATATCTTGGGTGAACCCTCAAGTGTACAAACCTGAATCAGGTGCGTACCTGGTATGCAAGAAGCTCAGTGAGGCTGAAGTGGACTGCATGTTCAGGATCTGATGAGGTCAGAAAGGTAAGAGGAGGCCTGATTGTGCAGTTGTATAGACCGTTGTAAGGGTTTGGGCTTCTCTGAATGAGGTGGTGAGTCATTGGAGGTGTTTGCACGGGAGAACAATTGGTGTGAACTCTGTTTTTCCGTAGCAGTTGTGTCCATCCGTTTACTTAGGGCATCCTTAATACCTCTTATTCCTGACAATTTACATCCAATCCATCACTGGTTCTCTTCGCTCTTCTATTGTTATTCATCCACTTTTCACCATCTTCACTGTTTCTACCTTGGTAGGAACTTTTCCAATCTGTGACCTAAAGATTATTGCATGAGCCTCCTAAGGAGTCCCCTTCTTTACCTCCGTGTCACATTTCTACTGGTTCTCAAAACAGAAATAGGAGTAGTCTTGTTAACTCTCTAGATCTGTAAAGGGCAAGATCATAAATGATTAGGCTATGGGGTGTTGTCCACAATAGCTCAAGTCTACCACTGAGATGTGAAAGCAGTCATAGTCAATATATAAAAGAATCAGTGTGTTTGTGTTCCACTGAAACTTTATAAAAACAAAAGGGAGGCCACTCTAGATCAGGACATTCCATAGTATTTGGGGTTTCTGTTGAGTGGAATTGGAATGCCTTGTTAGAGGAAAAGGGTGGTTGTTGTGAATGGTGATTCTAGTACTGGAAAAATAGACTTTCGGCAGATTGTAGAGAACCGTAAGTAGTAACTGCTCTCAAGTTTAGTACTTGTTTCTGTCGGTGTTCTGGAGTGGTGGAGGTTCATGCATAGTTACCAGACTAGAGCAGTGCTTCAAGTAAAAATAATAGGTAGTGTTATGCAGGATGATTTGGAGAGGTATGCAAATAAGTAAATTATTTTGCTAATACATACTAGTGTAATAATAGCCTGAGTTAATTGAAGGCTCCTGGGAATGAGAATAGAGAAGAGAAGGTTCTGGATATGAGAAAATGAAGAGAGGATGGCTATCTTCTTAGGAAAATGGAAGGTGCAAAGACTTAAAACTTGAATGACCGTGAGAACTATGGTAGAGAAAGGAGAAAGAAGAAACCAAGGTAGAAGGAATGTTAGAAACGTGAGACTGAATTTCAGAAAATGACACTAGGATTGGGGGTTTTCAGCCATTTTCAAGTTTATTGTTTGTGGAGTACAGTGTCAAGATATCCCAATATACTTCCAAGGAAGTCTAGAGGAGGCTAGTTTTGATGAGCACTAAGTTTATTATAATAGTTTTTTTTTTGATGGGAGAATGGGTCACTTAAAAGGAACTTTGCGAGTCAGTGAAGAATACCAGCTGTCTGGTAAGTGGACTTTGATTAAGGTCAGCATGGAATGGTGAGAAATGGAGCATAAGGTAAGGAGCGTTAGAGAATTACACAGGGAATGCATTATAGAGGGGTCCAGTACTGGAAAGAATGAGGATGGAGGAAAAGCAGTATCATTGGTCATTTAGTAGGTGGATAGTCACCTTTCTGCATGTACTACATATTATCACAGCAAGCACTATACTCTACTTGGATTAAACTTTTGTATGAGAGAAGTCATATCTCCATATAGTTTTAACACACTGAAACTTCTCGATATGTAGAAAATTTACAAGCACCATGTTGGTGTCTTACCAGAGGGGGCACCTGTGTCACTGCTGTGAGTGCATTCTGGCTTATAATGTTAAGCAAGTTTCTGTCCTTAACTGATCAGTCCTTGAGCTAAAAATCTTCTTTTCATGTCTTGCCCCTCCTTTCCCTTATTTTCTTTAGAAGTTGAAGAGGTACAGTTGCCTTTGCTGAGACCATTGCTTGAGGCAGAAATGTATCTGAATCTAGTCAAAGTGCTTGAGTTTATTGTATGTATTTTTTAAAAAATACAGTTTCATGAATCACCTCATCCTCCTTGATTATAGTGGGTGGTTATTGTAGCCCAGTGTCCATGGGGGTTGCAGAACTTTGTCAAGTCATAAAAACCCATATGTGTTCTTACTTTGGTGATAATGTGGAAATTAAGCAGGTGTTCAGTTGCATGTTTTTTGTCAAGCTAGTCAGCTATCACGAATTACTTTGTTTTTGGTAGATAGAGTCCCCTTTTTGTCAAGCAGAACGGCTGGACTGGAAGTCTAATGGAAGTTGAAACAACTCAGCTCATAAACAAGATTAGATTTAGTTGGGTATTTGGCTGTCCTAGGGACAGATTTGAACTTACTATTTATATAAGTTTGGAGAGACTGGGGAGAGTTTGGTGGGCAGAGGCAGCAAGTTGTGCAGAGTTTTGGAGGGGAGAAAGTAGTTTGGATAAATGAAACACAGTAAAAGGTAGTGGGTACATGTCTTGAAAATGTGAATATGTTCCAACACAGTTAGCCTGCAGTCCTCCACATGTTGGTTCTAACATCCTTTAGCATTTCTGTCTGTCCTTGGACCCATTCAGATTTGCTTAATGGCCCCAAAATGGCTTTCTTCCTTTCTGGCCAAAGCTCCTTTCAGGAAAATGTGACATTTTATTGTCATGGGCCTTCAGCTTCCTTTATTTAGTGTTGGTCTTTCATGTTTGTGAAAGTTTTTGCAGTTGAGCCTTGCATTCCTCAGGGAACATCTGGGTTACACTGGCGGGAGTTGTGGAGACCATGTCCAGTGTCAGTGATTCCCTGACAGACCCATGGTATAGTAGCTTATGAGTAATACTCCTGGACATGCTTATTGCAGAAGAGGGAGACCAACAGAGTCTGCAAGGCACGTGGGTAAAACACTGGGCAGCCAGGCATGAGTGGTGAGCCTCACAGTGTGACCACACCGGAACCCTGAAATTTCCAACAGCATGTTGTGAGGACACATATGAGGAGGTGCCGATTAGACACTCAGTGCTCAAGGTTACACTGTGGGCTCATCATGTAGATACCTTCTGTCTAGCACATACCCAAATTCCAGACTCCTAGAAAGAAAACAGCTGGTCAGCCTAAACCACATTGCATAGTTTAGGCGCAGTGAGTTACTCATCAGTTCTGGAATGGTGGGAGAAAACCTAGAAATCCATGTTTCCAAATGCCAGCCAATAGACCACCTGGTAAGCAGGAAGAGAGTGTTCCCAGACCTGCCTACTGTGTTAACTTTTGGCTGCACACACACTTTGATGCTGGGACAGTGCTGAGGCCACCTTGAAGAAACCAGGAGTACTGCAAGCATCCTGTCTTCCAGCCCAAAATGTCCTAGTACTGAGGTTGAGAAACTCCTCTCTCCTCCATATTCAGTTGT